TTCAATTGACTAACGGATAGCGGCAAGTACACAAAGACGGTAGGCATACTGCGTGGTTCTTTCCAGTATATTTGTCGGTAAGTAAGTGTTTTAGGTCGGTTGTGTATTGCAGAAGACATATTTTCAGAAAACTTTGGCTGACTGAACTTTACACACTAAACATGCAGACTTTGATACTAAATCAAAAAACTCAACCTCTGAACCATGAAAATATGGTCAAATCATATTTTGGACATGACAGATATACTGGGGTGCTTGATGCATGTGAGAAGGTAATATGAATGTCCATCCCATTGAAGCGAGTAGATTTAATATGGACGTCGGTAATATGAATGTCGATCCCATTTACTTGAATGTCAATGTAAATATGAAAGTGCGTACATGTTCGCATGCCCTCTAAACAATGTCTTCGCTTGTGTTTATGTTTATGTGTAGATTTACATGCCTTTCAATTATCGAGGAGTACATTGGGTGTGCCTAAAAATAGATATGGTAGACCGTGTGGCGTACCTATTTGACTCATTGGCATCCGCCACACTGGACACCAACAAGCTGAACACAGCAAAAATGTTGGTATGTCGTGCTGAATTTCACAAATCTACTTCCACACTGTCACATCCTTCACATAAACTAACGGTCTCATTCTGCAACAGGTTCAAACAATGCATGCCTTACTGCAACTACAGTTTGGAAATGAATATGCTGTAGACATGCGTACCTTTGAGGTGCGCATGTTAGAACAAAGGCCATTACAACAGCTGGACGAGTAATCCACAAACCCTGCGTCACATTGACTTCACTCTTGAATCACTCATTTAACGAACCTGCTTATATTTTACGAGAAACTGAATGTTACATTTCATTTGTAGCACTTTCGACTGTGGGATGTTTGTGATCAAGTACATGCAGCGGCCTGATATACCCAGCGGTCCACACAAGGTACATTGTACCGCTTAATTTCCAATTGCGAAATAAATCCGTTTATTCCCTACCGCTGTAACTGTACTTGATTTGTGTTATTCGCTTTCTGTACATAGTTTCATCCTTCTGTGCGCCGGAAGTTGGTGCTTGACTTCGTTATGGATGTGAACAATACAAAGATGGGCGAGTATCGTTCGTGCTTGTGATTGATTGCAATTACAACAAATAGTGCAGCGATTTTATCATGGCCTGCCAGTACGAGTGTAATTTCGATGCCCAACCACAACTGGATTACTGTATCAGCTTGTCGTGACAACTTTTTAGGTCGCAGCTGTGATAATACTAATTTCCCACGCTTATTGATTGTACACATAATTCCAATGTTTGGGACTCGAACAAACGAGGGAAAGTAGTCATGTTTGTTTGGTTTTATCGTGGCCTGTACGTAATGTGATACACATAATTCCAATGTTATGGGTACAGTACAGAACAAATAATGCAATGTCATATTTGCCCAAATGACTATAGTAATGTTTGTCCAGTGCAATGTGATATTTGTCCAACAAACAATGCAAGTTGAAAGTAGTAAGGTTTGTTCGCTTTTACCACATGAATTATGTTTGTTTGATTTTTTTGAATGTCATGATTTTTTTCCAAAACAAAGCAAAAAAAAGCCCACAGAAGAAACAAATGGCGGTGACTATAATGCACTTTGAAGATATATATTGATTACTTCATAACAATGCACAAATATTGAAAAATTGCACAAAAAATAAAAACAACCATACAACAGACCATTAAAAACACAGATTATTGATATTCAATTTTTTTTTTTTTGTTCAGCAAAACAAAAAACTGTATTGATGAAAAAGCACATACAAAGTGTCAATGATACATCAAGAAAGAGGAGGTTGGAGCTAAAAAAGCTCCAACCTCCTAGTTGGTGAGAGACCAATGAAGAGAAACAAAAACAGAAGGAAAACAATAAGAATGTAACTCCAAGCCCATCCTCACAAAACTACATAACAGGGCAACCAGATGAAACTCCAAGGCAGCATGAACAAATTTCAGACCATACAGCCACCATTGAGACTTGAGCCTGAACCTTCAACCTCCATTGAGACTTGAGCCTGATCCTTCAACCTCCAAAAAAAAAAAAAAAAATAACTACAGCAGCAGACCAACAATTACAACAAGGCCAGCAGCAGACCTCCAATAACTTTCCCCAATCCAGCAGCGGACTTCCAATACAGCACACCAAAACATCATTCAAACAATTGCAAAAAGGCCAATATGCAGCAGCAGACTTAAGCCTATTCGTTGATCCCATATAGCAGCAGCAGAGTACATATAAAGCAGAGCAGAGTTGAAGCACAGCAGAGCAGCAACCAGAAATGAGCATGCTTGACCCCATAAACTAAGCCAGAGCAACAAGCCAAAAATAAGGCAAAGCATAGCAACATTGAAGCACAGCAGAGCAAAAGTAGCCACCAAGAAGATATGGTAATACCACAGACTGACCAAAATCCTGCATACCACAGATTGACCAAACTCCTGCACCCTTGTAGCAAAAAACACCAAACACCACCCCCTCAATTAGACTTTGATACTATCCAGAATACAATATATGTCGTCCACTGAATACTGTAGGCCTCTATAACTTTGCTTACAGCAAAGTGCAACCCTCACTTTTACCATCTCAGCCAATTCAGGCCCATCAAATATCTTATCGTTAAAAAGGCAATCATTCCTACCTTTCCAAATCATTCCTAGGTGTGCAATACAAAAGAATACATATATAAACTAGCCTAGGATTTGGAGAACAGAACGGCTAGAACACCCCACTCTGATTGAGCATCTGCCAGCATGGCTTGGGCTTGGTCCAACTCAGCTTTAGTTGTCTGAATGGATGCAGAACGATGTCTAATTTGGGAGAGCATCATCCTCGCTTCTTGATTAAGCTGGTCATGTTGCTGCAGCAGATGAGCCTTTCTTTGCCGGACAGAGGCAAGTTCTGCCATGAGTTTGGCTTCCTCAAGTTCAAGTGCTGAGTGTTGCTGAAGAATGACTACAGAGGTTTGCTGGCTGAGTTTGAGTGAAGTAGATATGGTGTGGGCTTCGTTTAGGAAATCCTTTTTGGCTTGAATATCCTTCGAGCAAGTCTGAACCATCTCTGAAAGGGTTGGCCATTCCGTGATGATCTTGGCCAATTGCTTTAGTTGAATAGGGTTGAAAGGATTAGGGGAGAGGTTTACAACAGTAGAAAGACAGGCCAAGGTTTCATCAGGTTTGTGGAGAATGATTTCTTCAACTGGGGTGTTAATGAGGTTGATGAAGGTGGTTAAGGTTTGTTGAGTTTCAGCATCAAACAGATGTAGCCTTTGAGGCAATGGGGATATTTCGTCTAGATCTTGTTGAAGAATAGAAACTTCGGCCCAAATATCCTGGCATGGACCGACGGCCTGTGAACATTAATAGTTTGGTGAGAATATATGCTTGCAAGTAATAAAGAGTAAATAGGATGAGGTTGGAAATGGTAGTACCTGTCCTGATAACGTGCACACAGACGGTTGGCCTTGTTCAGCTATGGTTGTCGCATGAGGACGAGTTGTTTCTGGTACTGATGAAATGGCAGCATCAACGCCTTGAGGCTCTTTCTCTGGTTCTGCTAACAGGGGAAAGTCATGAGGACCT